GATCGCGCTCCTCAGAGGTGCCCAGGACATCCAGCAGGTGGCGCTGTACAACATTGTCTCGGTGGCATTGATGCGTCCAAAAGACTTTGTAAAGTACGCCAGCCACTTCCTCGTGCGAGCCACGGACACCGCCCCTGTCTGGGAACTCAAGCTCGAAATCTTGACCCTCATCTTTCCGCATAGCTCCATCCACATCAAGAGCTTGATCTTGAAGGAGCTGGAGCACTTCTGCCAAGGCACGAATAAGGCGCTTGTGCAGGAAGCCGTTCGGGCCATTGGGCGATGCGCACAGTCCGACGCGGGCACGGCCCCGAGATGCTTGAAGCTTCTTCTGAGCCAAATTACCAGTTTGGATGGCACGCTCGCAGCCGAGTCACTGACGGTCATCCGTCATCTCATTCAGCAAGATGCCGAAGGGCACATCGGGACCGTGGTTAGACTCGCCAAGAATCTTGACTCAGCAACCGATCCTCAGGCAAGGGCTACCATCATCTGGTTGGTGGGCGAATTCTCGGGTCTGAATGGAGAGGACAACATTGCTCCCGACGTCCTGCGCATCCTCCTCAAGGACTTTGCCAATGAGTCGGAAGCTGCCAAGCGAGAGATTCTATTACTTGCCGCCAAAGTATATCTCCATCACATCAACCGGAAGAGCGAAGCGGAGAAGGCCAGGGACTCGGAGGAGGACCTCCCCATTGAGTCTGACACACATCCGATTGCTCGATTATGGGACTACGTTATCCTGCTGGTGAGGTATGATGTTTCGTATGACCTCCGAGATCGTGCGAGGATGTACCGTGCCCTCCTCGCTGTCCCGCAGCTCGCAACATTGATGCTTCTCGCTCCGAAACCTGCGCCTCAGGCGCCCAGCCCCTCTGAGTCCAGAAAGGGCTTCCAGCTCGGATCATCGACGCTTGTTCTGGGTGGAGGAGGTGGCATTCATGGACTGCGGGGCTACAGTGCCCTTCCCGACTGGGTAGAGCCAGGAAAAGAGCCAGATCCCCGTCTGCGAGCATCGGAGACAGATACGAGTTCTCGTTACGATAGCAGCAGCAGGAGTGTTGTGCCAGCTAGTGAGCGACTGGATGAAGTGGCCCAGTCTGCACCGAGCAAGATGAATGGCCTTGCCGAGGGTGTCGGGGCGAAGACACTGGATGACTGGTTGGCGGAGGAAGAAGAGGAGAGTGAAGAGAGCGAAGAGGAAGAAACTGAAGAGGAAGAGGAAGAGGAAGATGAGGAGGACGAGGAAGAGGATGAGGAGGAAGATGAAGATGAAGATGAGGACGAGGATAGCGATGATGACGGAGAAGCAGACACGCTCGTCAAAAAGTGACGGCTCAGCAGCCAACATAGAATATACACGCATCAACCAGGACAAGAGTTCCCCAGAGTGACTTCTGCAGTCCTGATATTGGCAGTAATTTCGTAATGGAATGGGTTTAACTTGCTAAATGAAGTTGCGTCTATGTATATGCCCTTTTTCTTTTTGGCTATCTTGCTCTTATTTCATCTCACTTACAGGGGGTGATTCGTACATCGCAAGCAGCCATTTAATATCCTTCTTCGCCCCGAGATCATACAGCGCTGGTCTTGACTCCCTCATTGGAGGAGTCTCCCGTTTCGTTGTTAAGGGTTGAAGCCTGCTTCTCCGAAGCCGAGACGCGTTTGCTGTTTGACATCTGAGGAAAGAAAAGTCCTGGGTGGAAGGCCGTCAGGAGGAAAGTTGCGACGAACATGAGCGTCGAGTCAAGAACCAAGAACGAGGGCTCGTCTTGCATGATATGGTTTCCCCATCCAAGGGCCATCTCTGCTATGCTGTGATTGTTGTATTAGACCATATTTCCTCTCGACGATAGAAATAAGGGAGAGACATACCGATAGATGCAGCGGGTGAGGATGGCAAAGTAAGCACCGCCAACGGCCCACAGAAAGCGGCGGAAGGTTGGGCTGTTCCAGAGGGCGAGAGCCGTAGGATCCGCGCTGGAGGAAGTCTGGAAGTGCTTCTTGACGCGAAAGAGGTAATCGGCAGAGGTGATGCCGAAGAAGAGGAGTACGACGACCTGGAGGACGATGCCGGCGATAATGGCATTGTTGCCGCCGTTGAGGAGCGAGATATTGTCGCGGCCGGCGGCGGCAGCGAGACCGCCGCCGATGGCCTGGACGCAGAGGCAGCAAAGGTCGGCGGGGAGGAAGATGAAAGGGTACCACTTGGGACGGATGCGCGAGAGCTCGGCGCTGAGGTGCAGGGCGACATGCTTGAGCGTCAGGTAGAGCGAGACGCAGAGGAGGGTCGGGCCGATGATGATGGCGCAAATCTGGAGCTGGAAGGCGTCGCTGTTCCAAGGGTTATCATTAAGCAAGATACGGCCAATGTAGCCTGTCCCATGGTTAGCATGGCCTACTAATCCAACGATATCACAAGAAAGAATTGACGTGTTGTGGCGTACCCGACATCTCAAGCACGAGGCCGGCGCAGATGAAGCCGCCAAAGGACCATGTGCGCTTCCACACGCTCAGGATGGCCGCCGCGATGAACAGCGACCCGAAGCCAATGGTGAAGAAGATGCCGGAGCCCAGATTCGGGTAGTAGCCCAGCACGGTGGCCTCGACGGGGCAGAAGGCGGAGACCTCGTGGCATTCGTCGAAGGGGCGACGGCCGCCTGTGTACTCGGAGTCGGACATGTCTGCAGACGCTATTCAGACCGCCCGTAGATTGGTACTTGCAGTCTTTTATAGGATCGTGGATGTCGTCTTCCAGATATCTTGTCCTTCTCCGAGGGATGGAGTCAACGGCACGGGAGAAGAGAAGATGGGAAAGAAGAAGAAGAAGAAGACAGTAAATAAAGGAGGATCCAAACGGGAGAAACAATGGGGATCTCCATGATGGATGGATAAGCTTGATTATAGGGCTCCTATTGGAAAGCAATGCTCGGTTACCTGGTGTAGACGAGGGCCGAGCAGGGGAGGGGAAGGAAGCCACGCTGTAGGAGGATGATGCATCCGAATACGCGTATGTAAAAACGTTGAAGATTTGGGAATTACTCACTCGTACATGTATGTCCTCCACACACCCTCCTTCCACCGCTTCATCAGCGTCAGCGGAGCACCAGGTTGCCAAGCAGAGCACGACGGCCGAATCATTGTCTACTAGGTCTGCAGCGTTAGTCGGGCTCGGCTATAAGGTGCAGATGGGGACCAGCGTGTGAAGAATGCCGTCGACTCAAAGATGCGAAAACGGAGGCGATAGCCACGCACAGGCAACCAGGTGAGGCCCCGGAGGTTTCGGCCCCGCTCATGTATGCGCGTATTCAGAATCTAGGCGACCCTCCATGATTGGTACAAAAGTGCCCCTTGGAGGGTCGTCTGGATCCTGGTCGGCCGCCCGATACGATCCAGGCTTCCATTTGTTCTGGGATGGAGGCCAATTTCTGGATGGTCGGATCGGATGGTTTCGGTGAGGCCAGGGTTGGGTAGGCGTCCTTTATCGCGGCTCAAAACCTGCAAAGGTAGCATGCACCGATCTTTTTGTTGTTGAATCACATGGTGGGAAGACGAGCCTTCTTCCATTCTTGCACAGTGATTTGAAGGAGGCAAAATCCATTATTCCTCGATTCATTTCACACTGCGGTTGGTACAGGCCTCACAAAGGCACCTACCCTGTAATAACACACCATATGGCGTCCATGTCATGGGCTTGCGCTGATCCTGCCGGACTTGCATTTCTTGATAAACTCGGCCAGATCGTCGACCTTGGTCGATGGCAATCTTTACACGTATTCCTTTGAGTGGAGAAAGAAGGTGTGGCGTTGATACTAGTCTGATTAATGCCGACAGTTTGTTGCTTGATTTACTTGTTTTAATGAGCGTGTTCTAGCTTGTCCACAGCGTTGGATGCTCTTGAATGACAGCTGTATAGAGGTAAAAATAAAAAAGAATAAAATATACTGTGGCCTATGTATTGTCCGTCGTTTAATCCTCAAGATGATGATTGGCGAGGGCACCGCTTGGAAAGGAGACAGACTCTTGACCGATGACATTGTTCCGGGTCAGGCTGAAGAATGGCTCGGCGGGACTGGATCAGTGTAGACGGAAGCAACTGTGGAGGAGTCTGGGAGCCATCCACTCGCAATTAGAGTCTGCACAATTCGCTGCGACTCTCGGTGTCCTACAGGATAATATCCTGGGGCTTCCCGAGCCATCTTCCCACTGTCGTGTTCAAACTCTCTTGAGTGCACAAGGCATACTATCCCCGTTCACAGGAATACAGTAGATATAAGGGGTAAACCACTTGCCTGTTTCCATCAAGGATATGGTTAGTATCAAAACAGAGCATCTGGTTTTATGTGCGGATCAGTTAATGCAGGTCATTCACGAATCACCACGCGAAATCTTGTCGCCTAAATGCAAAGACAAGGCCACGCCCAAAGATTAACTAGTCTCTCTGATATAGTTGCTTCCCAGATGGCATCGTTTGTATCACCCGTCTGTTATGCTCAAGTTTCACCCGGCATTCTGGCTAGATAAACCCCCTGAAGCGGGCGAGGCAGCAGTCAAGTCGTGGTCTCTTGACATATTCCCTGCTTCCTTCTGCATGGGTTAAAGCCTCATAGACTGGCCTTGATGTTGCCCACTTTGATACCAGCGTCGGCTCCGGCCTTGCGTGGTTTCTAGTCCTCAACGATTGGTTTTGTCTGTTTTCTCTGCCTGTGTATTTAATTACTGCTCACTGCTTCGGTAGGCTGGGCGTGCTATCCGGAGCTTCATCCAGGGCCACTGTCCATTATTAGCATTCTTTGGCTGCCCACCGTGCCTGGGTGACATTGAGCCAGCCTTCCCTTGAAACAATGTTACTATTTCAAGGCTAACAATCCAAGGACATTACTAAACACCACCTCCCCAAGAACTGAGCTCTGTAAAGAGGCTTCTCTCAGATTAATTATTGCGTGAGAGAGGCTATAACTGTATGATGATTTGTTACGTATCACTATTCTCAACCGTGTGGCAAGATGGCCGAGTGGTCTAAGGCGGCAGACTTAAGAAAATACACGTCCTGTCAGGACGTGAGATTTCTGCTGAGGAAACTCGCGCGGGTTCGAATCCCGCTCTTGTCAAATGATCATCGCTAGATGGTTTTGTTTTTTGCACCCCTCCACCGTCATCTTTTTGACCTGATCATTCCCCGTCAGTGTCGAAGATATCAAGGTGAGTGAAGTAAACCGCGGTCCTTATCCCGAGTGTGTCTAGTGGCCGGATCCCGTGCCGGAGGTGACAATACACCGATCAGGCGCGCGCCGCTCCATTCCCACAATGCAATTTGCGGAAGCTTTGGTATTTATTTTTCTAGCAAGATTAGACAGGCCGCAGGAACGCAATGAATTGTGTTCCGTCAAGGCTGGAGTATGTCTGGTGCCATCTCAATAACCGCACTCGAGAAGCTATGCCGTGCAAAACCTCATCGTGTGCTTCGCTTCAGATAACCTTGAGCTGTGTAGGTCGGCATGTCTATCCGTGGCCAGTCTAGCAGTCTATGTTTCCTTGCCGCCCAGATACCGGTACACCACGGAGAAGTCACGTCCCTTGCAGTTTTCCAGCTTTTCCGTCTCCTCATACACCTCCCACGCCTTGTCGGCTAGCTCCATTCGTGCTCCGGCCTCCTTGGCTGCCAGGATGGCTAGGCGCAGGTCCTTCTTCATGAGCCCAATGCCGAACCCTCCACGGTAATCTCGACCTGCGGGCGCCGTTTCCACGACGCCTTTGACTGGGTTGTTCACCTCGCTAGGCCAACACTTTCCCGTGCTCACATTAAGCACACCCGCGAGCTTCTGCGGATCAAGTCCCCATTTCATTCCGAGATTCATCGCTTCAGCCGTCGCGATGTTGTTCACCGCCAGCAGGTAGTTGTTGGCCAATTTGGCTGACAGTCCTGCGCCCTGGTCGCCGCAGTGAAGGGCTTTACGCCCCATGAGCAGCAGTGTCGGCTCGATCCGGGCGGCCACATCTTCCGTGGCGCCCACCATGAAGGTCAACGTGCCCGCCGTAGCCCCCACGACGCCCCCCGACATGGGTGCATCTATGAATGTTCCCTGCCCAGCATCCGAGACGGACTTGGCTACCTTGCGGGACGTCGATGGGTCTATTGTGGAGCAGTCGATGAACACGCGGTTCTTCTTAGGCAGGGAGTCGGTCAGGATGGATTTGAAGACGTCTTGTACGTGCTGTGGCTCTGGCAGCACCGTGAAGACTACGTCCTGTTGAAGCAGTGTCAGTTACTTCGTGTCCAAAGAACCAAATGCATAAAAGAAGGCGTGGATGTTTGCTATTTCAGAGGATTGGCTTTATGATGTGTGAATCATGGGAAGGCCGGCAGCTGTCTAGACTGCCGACCCCAACTTAGATCATAGATAGAACAATAGTACTCATCACGTAGCAGGGAGGAGAATGAAGAAAAAGACGTGGCTTGACTTACAGCATCCTTGGATGCGTCGAAGACGCTCGCCGCCAATTCGACCCTTGCACCAGAGGACTGTGATTTCATTTCTGTCTCGAGTCCTGACATGGCTTGGGGATTGACGTCGAATATAGAGACTGTGTCGTTCGGCGTCAGCTTGGACTGGAGATTCCTCGCCATTTGGTAGCCCTGCGAACAGTCGGTCAGCCAGATGATACGCAGAACGAAGCTGCCGCGCGGGCCGATCGAAGACGACATACCATCTGGCCAAGTCCAATGAAGCCATAGCTCTCGAGCCGCGAGGCCGTGCTGGCAAACGACCGCCTCTGCAGAGGTAGGAGCAGCGCCCGCAGACGCGAAGCAGAAGCCAGGACTCTCATCGTGTCATGAATCAAGATGCAAATCCCCGTTCAGCTCACTCAGCCGGGAATGCCATGACGACGATGGGGAGGAGGAGCGTAGATGGCTGAGACAAGCCCGAATGCGGCATTGCGGGGGATTGGCGCCCCCCTTCAACCGAGAGGTAAGCCGACCATTGCCGGTTTGCTCGCCAACGGGCCCCCTAGGAATGCGTAACAAAAATTGGCATATTGGGGATTTTGGGCGTGTGACACCCTTTTTTTCCCTGCTGCGTGCGGAGTAAGAACCTGGAAGAACCTGAGCCTCTCTGCCGAGCTTGAAATTAGGCGCTTTATAGTGCCTTAGCGTGCTTTGGCGGTAAGCCAGGGCAGAACCAGCCTGCCAGGGTCACGATAAGTACGGAGTCTGCAAATTAATAGAACGGGTTCTCGGTCTAATGTACGGAATAATGTTCGGAGTGAGATGATGTCCAAGACATCCAGTCGGTAGTTGCTGTGGACAATTTCCCCTCCTCTTGGGACAATGCTCTACAATGAGGAATTGATGTTGGGTATTACAACTACCTATCCCAAGACATCTTTCTGCCCGGGCTGAATCGTTGTAGATGCAACTATGTCTCAACCACGATATTGTAGATTATTGTTTATAATTATTCTTGTCATCTTTACTGCCTGGATGCTACAACCAGTCATGAGAGCCGGAAAGCCGCGAAGGAACTCCAAGCAATCTATGGACAGCATGCTAAACGTTTCTCGTAAAAAAAAGTTCAGCTTTGCTGCCAAACTGGCTACTATAAAAGTCCTGCTCTCACTGCCTACGTTCCGCAAAGGCAGAAAGAAGACGGGCAGCGGAACAAAACAATTGCTGGGGGGTATGTCGGAAATGTTCAAAAGGTTGTTGGGTGAAGTATGTGTCAAAAAAGCGCAATGTAAAAAAAGAAAAAGGGGGCAGCAGAGCCAATGTGTGTGTAATGTGTTCCTCATCTCGCCAACTCAAGGGGTAATAAAAAGGGTTAAAAAAGCAACAGCCTGAAGTTTGTAACACACAAGAAAAAGGAAAAGAGTAAATAGATAAAGTCGACAGAGTGCGCCATCCAGCCCTGCCCTTCCTCCGCTGCGGTCACTCGTAAAGCCAAGGCAACTAAATCCGAGAAATCCTTTCATGCAAGCCGTAGAAACTTCATTACAGGAAGTTGACGAGCCATGGCACGAGCGCTCTGTAAAGCATGTTAGTAATGTTCTGGTATAAGTTTGAGGAGGGGGCTGCGACGTACCCGACTGCTACCGTTGCGCCGATTCCAAAGAGGGCCCTGTTCTTCACCCTTTGTTTCCGTAGTTCCACCTCTGTCTTGACCTTCTTGGCTGCTGGGGCTTCTTGCTTCACTTCAGCGACCTCGTCGCCCTTCTTTTCGTCATCGCCCACGGAAATATCAACAGCCTTGCGCTTGCTCTTCTTAGAAGCGGCGCTGGGTTCTTCCTGGACCTCCTCGACCTCGGCCTTCTCCTCGCCTTGCTCCTGTTCTCTCTCCTTTTGGAGGATCTTCTCTTGCTTCTTCTGGCTCTCAACCATTTCCTTGGCGTCGGCCATCATCTGAACAATCTCTTCGGCGGTGGGAGGCTGGCCGGCTGTGAGAGGGAATTGCACCTCGGTTATGGTGTGCTTGGTCTCGACGCCCTTAGAATCCTTGGTGATCTCCTCTTCAACCTGGACCTTGACCTTGGGGTCTTCCTCTCTGGGCTCGAGGACGATGGCAGGGTCGAACTCGGTCGACTTCATGACGATGTCGCCCTGCTTCTGCTCCAACACTTCGCCATTCGTGACATCGGTCCGCTCCGTCGTCTCCTCCACGACTTCCACCACCTTGGTCTTGGCAGAACGCTTGCGGGGAGAAGCCGTCGCTCGCTTTGAGCTCTTTGTGGGGCTGGCGGAGCGGCGAGAGCGCGAGGCGCGTGGGATGGCTGATGGAGTGGGAGGAGCCAGGCGACGCGCAGCCGTGCCGGTAAAATCGTACTTGGGAGGCGCCGAGATGTTCTTTGCAGGAGAATCGGCGTTGCCAGTGACGGCTATCTGCGCAGGGTCCAGCAGAGCACGGATCCAGGTAGTGATCTTGTACTCCTCGGCGAGCTCGAGAGCCTGATCCGGAGGGATCCAGATGTTTCCAGCCGTCTCCTCGGGACTCGTAGTCGGCAGAGACTTGATGTACTTGCGCTCCGTCTCTTCGTCGGATGCCTCGGCGTAGGGGAAGGTAGCCTTGAACATGCCGGTGGCGGAGACATATCCGTCGAAGCTGCGTCGCATCAGGAAGTAGCTGTTGGGGCTCGACTTGAAAATGCCCGACACGATTCCCTTGGGGAGGGGCGCGCGCAGATGCGCGTAGTCGAACATCTCGAGAGGCAGCGGCTGAGCCTCGTCAGTGCCCACCATCTTAGGGGTAAGCTTGGTTTGGCCGAGGCGTCGGCGCGAAACGAGGTCGGTATCTGGGCAGGTTAGTGCTGTGCCTCTCGCCGTGCTGGTGACAATAGTTACGTACACTCGGGAAAATTCTCGACCATGAGGGGGTTGTGCCTCTCGGGCAGAGCTCTGATGGGAGCGGCCATTGTGGTAAGAATATCAGGAAGAAAAGTTATGCGCTGGCGCGATGATGATTGTGTCCTCAGGTGCTCGACTCAGCGATTGTTTGATGCGCAAACAACGCGATCGTTGACTGCCGATGCGCGACGGCGGATACTCCGGCTTTCTGCAGGCGAGCGGGCGAGCCTCGTTCGCGAAGAAGCGCAGGTCGGGCGCGAGCAACAGGATCGAAACACGGGGAGTATCTGACGACGAGATCGAACACGTATCAACCAAGTCGCCAATGCATCAGCCAGATAGATAGCTACCGATGATGGCAAGGGGGCCGCAAGGACGCGGAGGTTGGGACGGAGAGAGGCGACAAAGCTGGAGGTGCAGCAATGTCTTGAGGCCAAATCACGGGGGGAGGAAAAGAAGAATGGAAGATTCGCAGATTAGATGGAGATGGTCGCGCAAATTAGGTCGTGGGATAGCGTCGAGGATTCGGGGGGGGGCCTTCACAGCGGGTGTTTGGACTGCCCTGCAGCGGGAAGCGACCCTCCTGGTAGGGAAGGGCGTGTGGGGAGGAGGGACGGGTCAGGTGACGGTGTAGCGAGGCACTTCTCAATTGGGCGCCGGCCCGGCACGGCGTGAGGTATCTCACTATGTCTTGGCGAATTTCCCCCTTTGAGGTCGCGCCGCCAGAACACGCGCTCTTAATGCTCGTGTCCCCACCGAATCACGAACAGAAGC